TTTTTTTTTTTTTTTTTTTTTTTTTTTTTTTTTTTTTTTTTTTTTTTTTTTTTTTTTTTTTTGTAAGAAATAACTTTTAGATGAAGAAGAATTAATGGGCCGAGCCCAAGCTGGGATCTACGCAGGCCCGTCTTGCTTGGGCAGGTTGAAGGAGTAAACCACACCGATCTGGTTTTCCGGGCATCCGCCATTGTTGCAGCAGGCTCAAGCTCTGCTTCTCAAGAACTGTCGAGAAATTCCGGTAAGAAACCCTTTCCCTTAAATCAGTCCCCTCTTGAACCGACCTCCGTTTCCGGCGAGAAGAACAAAAGTCGATGGATCAATCCTTCTTACTAATGCTCTCAACCCTCCTTCATTTCCACAACTACCTAGATCCCACCATTTCCCTCCTCCCCTCCACTCCCTCCTCCGCCTCCTCCCCTTCCTCCGCCTCCCTCAACTCCCCCACCTCCCTCCTCTCCTCTTCCTCCGCCGCACCTCTCCTCTTCTTCACCATCGCCTCCGTTCTCTCCTTCATCGCCTCCTCTCGCCCCAACTCACCTTCCTCCCCTTCCGCTGCCTCCACCACCACTCCCCCTCCTCCCACCTCCTCCTCCTCCAATTACTCCGTGTCCGCCTTCCGCGCCTTCTCCACTGACCACATCTGGTCCCTCGAAGCCCCTCTTCGCGACGCCCATTGGCGCTCCCTCTATGGCATCTCCCACCCTGTCTTCACCACCATCGTTGACAAACTCAAACCCCACATTGCCCTCTCCAATCTCTCTCTCCCTTCCGATTACGCCGTTGCCATGGTCCTCTCCCGTCTCTGCCATGGCCTCTCCGCTAAAACCCTAGCTGCCCGTTTCTCCCTCGAACCCTATCTCGTTTCCAAAATCACCAACATGGTCACCCGTCTTTTGGCCACCAAACTCTACGCTGAATTCATCAAAATTCCGGTCAGTCGTCGGCGCTTGATTGAAACAACTCAAGCATTTGAAAAATTGACATCTCTACCCAATATGTGTGGTGCCATTGATAGCAGTCCAATCAAGCTTCGTCGATTGCCTGCCGACCAGAGCATTTCGACTAATTACAATTGCCGATTTGGGTATCCATCGGTTCTGCTTCAGGTCGTTGCTGACAACAAGAAGATCTTCTGGGATGTATGCGTTAAAGCTCCTGGTGGCAGTGATGATGCGAGCCATTTTAGGGATAGTCTTATGTACCATAGGCTTACTTCTGGTGATATTGTATGGGATAAGGTTATCAATGTTAGGGGTCACCATGTTCGTCCCTACATTGTTGGAGATTGGGGCTATCCTCTGTTGTCTTTCCTGTTGACACCATTTTCGCCGAACGGCATCGGCACGCCTGCACAGAACCTGTTCGATGGAATGCTAATGAAGGGTCGGTCTGTTGTGGTTGACGCAATTGGGTTGCTGAAGGCTAGGTGGAAGATCCTTCAGGATTTGAATGTGGGTTTAAGCCATGCCCCACAGACCATTGTTGCTTGTTGTGTACTGCATAATTTGTGTCAAATTGCCAAGGAGCCAGAGCCTGAACCTTTGAAGGATCCAGAGGAGACTGGCCCTGCTCCTGATATCCTTGACAGTGAGAAATCCTTGTGTTACTATGGTGAAAGTGTGAGGCAGGCGTTGGCTGATGATTTGCATCATAGGCTTTCATCGAGATAGCTAGTATTTCATCAATTCGAAGGGAAGATGAATTTCCAGCCTCTGTTCTTCAAATGTAAGTTTTTCTTGTAGTTTTTTCATTCTTGCCATGTTTGATAGGTTTGTTTCTGTTTTATTGCTTACATTAAGTGTGAGATCCACATTGGTTGTGGAGGAGAACGAAACATTCTTTATAGGGTGTGGAAACCTCCTCCATAGCAGACGCGCTTTAAAACCTTGAGGGAAGTCCGAAAGGAAAAACCCAAAGAGGACAATATATGTTTGTTAGCCGTGGGCTTGCATGGTTACAAAGAAGCTGGTTGAGTAATATCATCTGACTGTGTCATAACTGAGAAAGCTATTAGATTAAGCTACAATGTTGTTCTTGTAGAGTCTATGTTGAATCGAGAAGGAATTTGGTTGTCTGAGAAAATGTATATGAAATGGGAGAGAACTGCAAGAATGGAGTAAGATGGCATTGACAGGTAGCTTGAGGTATGTAAGTTAGGAACAAAGGGATGCGTTTGTGTCTCCTTAACATGCTAAGGTGCTGCAGATTATGGCTGAATGTTTGTTGAAACTAGGACATTTGAGGCGGTTTAGAAAAATGGTTGATCCCTGAATGTGTGTTGAGCCCTTGTCTTCGTTTTGTCGTGCTGCTATGATATAACGTGTCTCCCCCATATAAGGACAGTTCTAGGAGAGTTTTTGGATGATATCTTTTAGCTGCCTTGCATATTTTCATTCCTAAAAGCATTTAGATCGATATAACTAGGAAAACGTTTCGAATACCATGCCCGAGTTTACAGGCATGCCAGCTTCATGTAGCCCATTTGATATGTTTTTTGCCTCAGAGAACCAACACACTTTTCACAAAATTTCAAATCTTTTTTTTTTTTAATCTCTGATTACTCGATAATTTTCTCAAGCACAAATCTTACTTTTTGTAGGCCGAACAATTCTTTCACGATGTAATCCATCCGGATTTATTGGTCGAGTAAAGCGAGGTATAGGGTTTTGCTATTCTTAATGCTTTGCTTGTGTTAAAAATGTCATCTTGATTCTAGATGAGATGACATTTTGCAACTAACCATTAATGGAAACTAAAATTTTAAGGTTTTGTTTTATAGCAATTTTATTTTTATTTTTCTTAGTTTTCCATTTTTTAAAAATTTTATGATATCTGATAGTAGAGTCGAGTCTCAGGAGAAGCTTCATGTACAATTAATTGCACAGACGTCCAACACATCTTTGTGTGAAATACACCAACGAGATCCATAGGTACTAGAAAGCCCACTGCTAATTGATATTGTTCTCTTTGGACTTTCCTTTTTGAGCTTCCCCTTAAGGTTTCTAAAACGCGTTTGCTAGGTTGAAGTTTTTACACCCTTATAAAAATGTTTCGTTCTCCCCCATCGATGTAGGTTCTCACATAAATGATCATGTCTCATCATTCCTACTAGTAAGTTTGATTGACATGTCCTCCCCCATAGAAATCTCCGCACTCTACATAAAAATCTTGTGATAAACACTAGTTCTAAGTCACTAAAGTATTGTGATTAGAAATGATTGATAGGGTTAATTCTAGCGCATTATTGAATAGATGATATTTTCTCTCGTTCTTAATTTTAATTATTGATTAGTCAATAATAAGAAAATCTTATCAATATTTTTATTATTTGTCTTTATTTAAAAATGTTTTCAATTGAAATATTTAAAGCTTCGTTCATATCCTCTCATGTCTATTTCATTTATAAAAAAAAAAAAACAAACTTGAGAAGCCCCGTTAATCGATTATTTTTCTTCATTTTTTGAAAAAGCAAGAAAAAAATTATTCGATGAAATCATCCAAATATATTTGTTTTCGAATAATTATTTGATATAGATTTAAAAAATATGTTTGTCCCCAATTAATTACCAAAATTGAAACCATTTGCTTAGTTCTAAATTAGTTTGTGCAGAGATGAAGTGTTCCATGACAGAGGTGGACACTGATTGGACATATCCATTTGCTTTTGGTTGGGTCTTCCCATTTGACTGGACATCTATTGGTCCACGTCAACGGGTTGAATTATTAAAATAATAATATATTTAAGATAATTACTTATTTATAAAATATCGTTTTAATTTATCTTATTTGAATAGAACATTAGAACCGATGATTGTCTCGTATTAACAAAATTGTCCATGTGAACATGTTTATAAAAAATTTTGTGCAAAAATCCTTGAGGGACTAAATATTTTTAGTTAAATTAGATATTTTAAAAGGTTAAAAAAATAGTTAGTCAAATATAGATATTTTAATGAAATGCATGGATCTTATGAGTCAGACATAAGATTTTAATGCATAGGTTGTTACTAATCCAAATACGGCACTTGATACATGGGTCGTTACTAATGGTATCAGTGCGGTACTTCTCCCAATAAAGTATGGTTCAAGACGAACCAAAGCAAAAGTTGGTAACCATGTGATATTCGAGTAAATGAAGAGTTCTGAGAATAGAAAACTAATAAAAATTTAAAAGAAGTAGCTAAATCATAAGAACTCTAATATTGAATGTGTTTTGCTTTGGGTAAGTTTATATTGGATGATCTCTTGACAATTTTCGCAAGGAACATATGAGTAAAGACAAAAGATGCTCAAAGAGCTTAAGTTGATCTGTAGAGATAGTCTTTACTCTTACATGCGAGAAGAAAATAATATGATCATGACGTAGAAGAATATCAAGGTCATCACGTACTGAATCCAAATTTTAAATATTGTCAGCGTCGTGATGGGATTTGCGATTTTAGCACCACTAATATCTTTTTTATTCTTCCCTTTTGAAATAAAGTTCATGCTTCTTAAATTTGGTCAAAACTTTAAAGCTTTCTTTATGAAAAAGGGAAAACTTTAAAAAGAACGATAGAAAGTGATTCACAATTCCCCAATTGTAATAAAGTAAATCTAACGCTTAGTTTTCTTCTTTTGGCCAATGTTTTCTAACCACGTCTTTTTCGTTAACACATTCCAACACCAACTCCACGTTTAACTTTTTTTCATTTAATAGCATTTTGGTCTATTCCTTCATTCTTTTTTTTCTTTTTTTTGTAACTTTAGATAATGGAAGGTGATGTGAAATAACATTATAAATATTTTGTAACGACCTACATCCACCGCTAGCAGATATAATGGTATAAGAGCTAGACATCGGACGATGTGTCAGCCTTCTCGCTGTTCCCCAAAGGAGGTAGACAAGAGGCGATGTGCCAGTAAGGACGCTGGGCCCCGAAGGAGGTGGATTTAGTGGCGGTCCCACATCGATTGGAGAAATGAAGGAGTGCTAGCAAAGACGTTGGTCCTAAAGGGGGTGGATTGTGATGTCCCACGTTGATTGGGAAGGAGAACAAAACACCCTTTATAAGGGTATAGAAACCTTTCCCTAACAAACGCGTTATAAAGTCTTGAGGAGAAGCTCGAAAGGGAAAGCTGAAAGACGACAAATCAATATTTAATTACGACATTCTCTCCACTAGATTTATAGACTAAAAAAGAAAGAGCTCGAAAGGGTATGACCATTAACAAAAAGTGGTCTATAGGACTCGAAAGCTTGAACCAAAAAGAAAATATAGGCAAAAACATCAAATTGGATTATTAGACCATTTTATATTTGAAAAATAGCCATCGACATCTTTCTCATTTATATAATATTGAAATAATGAGTCGGTCTAGTTCTTGGCAATTCAACTAAACTTATTTGTTATCCGGTTTAGTTAGACAAGAGGATTCAATTCAATTAAATCGGTTCTATCATTATGTGAGTCATCCTATAAGGTGATCGGCAAAGTCTATGTGTTAATTAAGATTGAGGTAGATCGTAACAACTCAAACCCACGGCTATCAGATATTGTGTGATTGACAAAATCTATGTGTTAGTTAAGATTAAGGTAGACCGTAACAACTCAAACCCACCGTTATCAGATATTGTTCTCTTTAACCTTTTCCTTTCGGGCTTTCTCTCAAGATTGAGTCAGGGCATCCTTAATGTTTTTTGCTCCTCTTCAACTAACGTGGGATCTCACATAGACGATCCTGATTCAATCCAAGTCATGAACGGTGACCTCATTTTTTAAAAACATTTGGTCCCTTAGGTCTTAGACGATAGAAGTGACCGAGAAAAGTTAAAAGTCACTTCCATTCTTAATAACAATTTTTTAAATCATATGCTTATCGAGATGACTCTTGATCATTTCAATAGCTTATTTTTATATTAATTTTGGATAGAATGCTTTATCAAACCGACAACAATATTATATTAATTATACTACCAAACTCAACTTTAAAATTAAACTATATTCATGAAGCTTCTTATGAATTTAAAAATTCTTAATTAAAAAAAAAAACTATTAAAAGGAAACTTCTAATTAATTAAGGAATTGTTACTAAATTTTACAAAATAATGACTTATGTAGAGATAATCACGAAAATAATTAGGCACCAAACGAAGACTTTGGTGTAGAATAAATTTAAAATCACTTTTTTTTATATATACTAATTAAATAATTTATCTAAAAAAATTAAGTTATTTTTTAAAATATAATCATAAAATTTTTATCTCTCTCCTCAATTTTAGAGTTACTAGTTAGTCAACTTCTCCCTATCAACAGTGATACACGGTGAGTAGTTGCTGTTACTCTCTTGCTTGCATATATAACGTCTCTTTCAAAATCTCTTTTGAAATCTCTCTCTGCCCTCGTTTTTTAAAATCGAGGCTAGAAACTCGAGCATACGTCGCTTAGTCATAGGCGACTTAAGAACGAATTGGCTTAGCTCACTTATGTTGGAAAGTGAGTGACGCACAATCGCAAATCTGCTGCCATCAAGAGTGCGATCGTGACAAGTGGTGTAAAAAAAAATTAAAACATTTTTTAAAAATGGTAAGGATATTAATGTCACTTTTTAAGAATATTAATTATTTTTAAGAAGACTTTTTCTTCCTAGTTTTTCAAATGACATTTTTTTAAATAAAATATTAATTATTTTTATTTATAACTATAAATCTATTTTTAACTTTTTTAAAATTGGGTATTTTTTAATTCATTCTAATGTTTTTATTAATTTATAGTTTTATTTATAACTTCAATTTCTTACATCATTGATTTATGAATATGTGTTACACCCACAAACACAATCCCAAAAAAATTAAAATTTTAAAATTTTAAATTTTGTTGGTTCATCCACGTGTCAACGACCCAATTCCCCTGGAAATCTCCGGCATACTGGACCGGTTAAACCACAGAAACGGCCCAGAAAACCCGGTTTGATGGGCAAAAGTCTCTTCTTCGTCATCATCAACTCCTCAGAAACCGTTCGGTTCGCCGCCGTGGAATGAAACCTCGAATCTCCGCCGTCGGCCGACCGGAAACTCGAAATCTTCACGTCGTTGTCCATATTTTCAGAAATCACAACGTACGTCGACCTCAATTTATCCGCTTTCGCCGTCGATCGGCCTTCCGATGCACTGCGAAACAATAAGTCCCTCAGCCTCCATCTTTTGTTGGCTTTTGAAAATGAGATCGCCGACTTTGATTTGACGGCGGCGGCGGCGAGGGAGCCGCCGTCGTCTCCGTCGAGCGCAGTTTGAGAGGAAATGTATGAGATTTGATCGGTTGTTCCACCGTCGGGAGCAGTTTCCTTCATCAGCGCTGCTTCAAATGGGTCGTCGATGCTGCTCTCTGCTTTTCGAGGCGGTCTTGGGGACCACATTTTCGACTGAATAAAATACTAAATTAACTAAATTTAAATAAGATTTTTCAAAATTCTAGCTTCAATTAATAAAATATTTTCAATTTTACATTTTTGCTTTCAAATATTTCGATAATACCATAAAAAAAAATTAAGAAAAAACTACCGGTAAATATTTTTTAAAAATATTAAAACACCACTATCTAGATTGAAAGTTAATATTTTACTTTTAAAATCGTTTAAAAAATATCATCTATAACATTCTTCAACTTTTAAAAAAATTTAAAAATAGTTTTACATTTTTTAAAAATATTAAAAAATTCAAAAATAGTTTTACATTTTTTAAAAATTAAAAAATATTTATAGTTATTTGATGGACAACTCATTGGCTTCCGAAATTAATATTAATACCTTTAAATTTTTAGGAAAAAAAAAGTTTACCGTACCATTCTTAAAATTAAAAAAATAATCAAAGAAATCAAATATTAAATTTATTTGAATAATATTTTCAAATTTGAGAAAAAGTTACCCATAAATGTTTTTCAGTTAATACTTTATTTTCAATATTATTTCAAAAAGAACTTCCAACCTTCCTCTTAAATATTTTCAATAAAAAACTTTACATTTTTTAAAAAATTTAAAAATACTTATTAAAAAATAATTTACAGTTAATAACCTTAAATAAAAAAACAATAATACTAGAAATGATAAGAACGTTTTAAAAATTTCTTTGAAATGAGTAATGATGTAAAATATAGATAAATTAAGAGAGACAATTGAAAAGGTACCTGAAATCCAGGCGGGAGTTTAAGCGGCTTGATCTTACCGCCGTCGAAGAGCTCATCGGCGGAGAGAGAAGCTTTACTAAACGACTGAGAAGTAAAATCAAATTCAAAATCCTGATCGGTACCGGAGGACTTGGGGGACTTGGGGATGCCGGGCTTCTCCTCCCAGCCGAAGGGGACAGCGGAGGGAGAGCCAATGGGAACATCGTCGTCGTCGAAGGAGAAGAAGTTGAAAGCATGGGAGGGGCTGGTAGGAGCGGACAAGTAGTGGGAGGAGCAAGGGCTGCCGCCGATGTTGAAGATGTCGGCAGCCGGAGGGACTCTAACAACTACTTCCATCTCTAAGAAAACTCGGCCGCCGGCTGAAGCTTTTATGGGAAATGAATGGAAAAGAGAAGAAGAAGAAGAAGAAGGATTAGGTGGGAGAGGAAGAAGAGTAAAGTTGAGGGAAATTGGGTTGGAGATGAATTGGAAAAACCTCCTAAATTGATCAAAAATGGATCCACCATACAAATATATATATATAATTATAAGCTTATAAGTTAGAATAGAAAATTAGTGGGGGGAAGACTCGTATGAGGGTGAAAGAAAATAAATGGAGAAATCAAATCCTAAAAATGAAAAATTCATGTCAATACAAAGGTCGAGTAAGCTCGATTCTTATGCCAAGTAACAAGTGCATGCAAGAATCATAACGACAAGGAGCTACCATAAGAGACTGTCGTCATACTTATGCTAGAGCGTTATGTTGAATATACCTTCGTCGTGGCTTCACAAATGACATCAGACAAAGAGCAATCAACCCCTAATCGCAAAAAGACTCACCAAAAACCTTCCAGAACTATGTGAATACGCCATTAAATCCTCTAAATGTAAGTGGTTGAAAAGATTCGTCACTACTTCACTAATGGAATAGTCTAAACATTATGGTTCCAAACATCTATGTACGAAAATAATAATAATTATTATTATTATTATAATGATCTGTAAATTTAAACTTGAAGAAAAAATAATAATAATAGTAGAAATCTACCCAAACCCCAAAATTGTTCATCAGATGTAGCAAGCATGATGAGGAAATTAATGTTATGAAGCCACATGATTCGGTAAATAAAGATTCAGTTAAGCACAACTTAAATAAATTCCCTATAACAAAGTGAATAAGCTAAGAGATTGGTGTTTTGATGCAATGTCATACTCTTTTCTCAAGATGAGCCATTAACTGCGGCAGCTGGGGCAAGATGACCCATTAACTCTGCGCCAACTGTGGCTTGCGTGTTTGCGTCCTGTTGCTGTGGTACTGAGTAGTAACCACCGTATCCACCACCGTAGCCTGGGACTCCATAACGTCCTCCATTCCATTGGTTATTAGAATCACTTCTCCACTGCCAACATATAATATAAGACTACTTCAGAAATATGAAAAAGAATCAATAGTGGCTGTTCATCGTCGAAGGCTTTCCTTTGAAGATAAAGTACCCTCAAAATGTTTTCAATAACCAAGGAAAAAAGCTACGATTATTGTCGTTTAGAGAGATCAATGAAAAAGATGCCTGAGGATCTAACAATGGAACATAGTGTGAAGAAACTAAATATATATTTCTCTAGATGATTCGACATAAATAAACATATTTTCAAAATCAATGTTCATATGTTTTAAAATCAATCCATTATTCCTTTTGTCCAATAAATGTTCGACATATATTCAAAATTGTTGACATGGGTTCATCAGATGTTGATGTGTCTAATATTGTATACAAGGAGTGTCTAATTATCATCAAATCTCATTTCTACACTTATATTCTAAATATCATAGGCCACATGTTAAGTTTTAAAAACTAATAATCTAAAACTATTCACAAGAAGATAAGTGACAAGTAAAGATGGGGAAACATTGAAAAGGAAAAAGCACGTGGTCAAACCTGCTTGCTCCCTGTACTTCGGCCCCAAGAAAGACGAACAATTTGCTTGCCAATAACTGTTCCATTCAGTCCCTGTATTGCATCCTCGGCATTTTTTCTACAAAAAAGAAGAAAAAATGTATGCCAAGATAGGTTATGTGCTTTTTTCACTAATGCCCACATTTAGTCTTTTTGGACAATCTCGCTTATTATGCATGTAACTGATGACGAGTCAGTTTAAATCAAGCTTGAATAAGTACTGAAAATAGTATCCTCTCCAAAAACAAAGCTAAATATTTGTATAAACACTCATCAATCTTTCATTATGAATCTAACGGATACAATTTTTTTAAAAAAAATAAATAAATAAAAAAAGAAACAGCAACATTCCATAAGAGAAAATTAAATAAAAAACTTTTCCAATTGGTCACGGGAGTAGTTAAACTATAGTTTCAAAAGCGTGCATTCAATTTACACAAAGAGTGAGCCAAAAATGTCATTGAGGTACGTATGGAATGTGGGTCTAGGTCCTTTTCAGTAAAGATAGGTGAATTGAGGTATTCACATGGACCAAAAAGAAACCAAAATAAAATTCAGCCAAAGGATTTTCCTTTCTTTCTTGAAAGGGTGACCAGTGATCATATGAGAGAGAAAAAGTTGCATATCAAGGGGGAAGTAGCCAACCAAAAACTTCAAGGAGAAAACTCTAGAAGTTGGATGCTTGTTGAGAAGTTGTTTGCACGCTCCTCCATGGAGCAAATTTTCCTTCGTGAAATTGCCAAATCGATCCAAACATTAAGGATGCATTTTTAAGTTTTGGGTCAATAATCCCCAGGCCACCTTCCTCAAACGGGTGTTTAACTTTATTCCATCTTAAGTTGTGAAAATTTCCCTTCCATAAAAGTTCCTAAAAGATCTCTCAATAGACGCAGAAGACTTTGAGTAATTAGGAAAAAGGGATGGATGGTAGATGGAGAGATTAACTTTAGTAGCTTGAATAAGTGTCTCATCAACCCCCTTTTGACATATGAGGTTCCCAAGATCGTAGCCTTTTCTGCACCTTCTCAACAATTGACAGCAAAAAGGAATTAGAATTTGGCTTGCCATTCAAAGGTAAACCCAAATAAACAGCAGGTCACCAACATTTTTGCAACCCCATTTGGTAGCCTACAATTCCGCAGGAGAATTATCGAGATCAACCCCCATAAAATCGGTTTCTGATAATAAATATTAAGCACGGATGCTTCTTCAAACTCTTTAATACAACAAATAATTAATGTGAGAGACCTCTGGAGATGAAAAAAGAACAGTGTCATCCGCAATTGTAAGTGAGTAATCTAAAAAACAGTGGTCTGTCCTACCCACTTTCAACACATTAATCAAGCATCTCCTTTCTGCAAGGGAGAACATTCTACAAAAAACAACATCCATAACAATGGTGTAAAGGAAAGGTGATAAAGGATCACCGTGTCGAAGACCTGTAGAAGCAATGATCATTCCACAGGGCTAGCCATTGTTAATGATGGAGAAGTTAATTGATGAAATACAACCCCTAATCTACCTCCTCCAAGGATGCCCAAAACCCTGAGCTTGAAGAATAAGGTCTAGAAAGTCCTAATCAACCTTGTCAAAATCCTTTTCAATGTAAGATTTGATCACCACAGCTGGTTCCTTCTGGCAACGTCTATTTTCAATAAACTCATTTGCAATCTAAGATGCAGGTACAGTCTATCTATTAGCCACACAAAGGCTGATTGGTAGTCGGAGATAGTGTATGGAAGCACTTTCTTTAGTCTTTTCGAGAGAACCTTCATAATGATTTTGTAAAGGCTAGTAAGACTTAAAGGCCTACCGATTTAGCATAAATTCTTCTAGGGATAAGACACAGATATAGGTCACATCAACACACTGGCATCGATAATAGCATTCTTAAAAAAAAAAAAAAAAATCAGTGAACACTCTCGATGTCTATCTTGAGAATGTTCCAAGATTTTTTTTAAGAGTTCAATAGTGAAGCCCCAGGGACTTTGTCTGTGCCCCATTTCGTTAACAGCAGAAAGAATCTGTGACTCCAATCGATGTCCAATAGTGTGCCCACCTCTTTTCCAAGTGCATAAAGCTCTATAGAAGTCACAAACTCATCTTCAATGTCCTGGGCAGTAACTAACCTCATACCGACCAAGCAAGCACCTCAACAATTGTGTTCCATGCCATATTGGCAGGAATTATACGATGGGGAGGAAAAAAAAAAAAAAAAAGAAGGTATTTCCATCACCCACTTTCAACAACTGTAATTTACCTCGCTGTTGCCAAATAGGTTCCTCAGACGCAGCAATAGAAAGAAGTTCAAATTGATTTCAACCCTTTTCTGGAAATAGCTAGGCTTCAATGAACCCAATTCTTCCAAAGAATCTATGTCAGACAAGCTTTTTTAAAGAGATGTTTTGTTAGCAGTGAACTGCCAAAAAGTGTTTACATTCCAATCCTTGAAAACTTTTGAATGCTTTAAGCTTCTGATTAAACCCATGGCCCAGCTAGCCAACAGGCGGGTTTGCTCTCCACCAACTTTTTAGAAGAGAGGAGAAAGAAGAATAGTGTGATATGGTTGAGGAGGAGAACGAAATATCCATTATAACAGTGTGGAAACCTTTTCCTCACAGATGCGTTTTAAAGCCTTGAGGGGAAACCCGAAAAGGAAACCTCAAAGAGAACAATATCTGCTAGCAGTGGGCCCGGGCCGTTACAAATGGTATCAAAGCCAGACACCGTGCGATGTGCCAGCGAGGAGGTTGTTCCCCGAAAGGGGGTAGACACGAGACGGTGTACCAATAAGGACTCTGAGCCTTGAAGGGGGTTGGATTTGGTGGGGGACCCACATCGATTGGAGAAAAAAACGAGTGCCAACGAGGATGCTGGGCCCTGAAGGGGGTGGATTGTGATATCCCACATTGGTTGGGGAGAACGAAACACCATTTATAAGGGTGTGAAAACCTTTCTCTAGCAGACATGTTTTAAAGCCTTGAGGGGAAGCCCGAAAGGGAAAGTCCAAAGAGGATAATATCTGCTCGCGGTGGGTCTAGGGTGCTACAAATAGTTATTTAAGAACGTGTAAAAGAAACTTGAAGAATGTAGGAAACCATCTTTGCCAACCAAGTGTCAAAGCGATGGGGAAAGTGGTTGGATGTAATTCTCTCTAATCTTCCAACAATTTCATGCCCAGACTTGGAAAGGCAGCCTTCTGAGATGAGAAGCTGTAACATCCTGAAATTTGTTTGAAGGAAAATGAGGAAGCTGTAACATCTTGAAATTTGTTTGAAGGGAAAAAGGGAAAAACCCGCCGCAGACCTACTTCGCTATAAAAGTCAAGTGAGGTCAGCTCCTCTCATAGTGCACGCAGCCCAAGATCAACTGTCGTCATCCAAGTTGTTGCATTTATTCCTTGTCTTCACCAAATCTTTTGTGTTTTCCTTCGATCCTCGTCATGGATTCATTAAGGATTTTGCCACCGCTCGAGTTCTATTGTTCTCTTCAACCAATCACCATCCACCACCAGTGGGACTTACCTCCCACCACCACATTGGAGCAAACATAAGGGTGTATTTCCCCAATTTTTCTATGATTTGGGCTTAGAACTCAAGGGATTCTCACTATTTGATTTCCTTCGTTGCAGCAAAGTCGTCTCTGCCGCTTCTAAGGAACTGTAGTCGTTTAAAATCGCGCAGCAGACATAGCTCCAAAAGACGTGAAGCCACAAGGAGTGACTGTTTCGATATTGGGATCAGCATCCAGCGGTTCAATCAAACTGGTTCACAAACTCCAATTTAATTGGACCAGTTTTGGTCCTACCACTTTTTCTCATTCTACTTCGACTTTCAAGGCCAGTAGACCTTAATTCTCCTTGCCTTGGCTTGAATTGCATGGATTTAGCTAATTTTAGGATTTTTTTTTTTTTTTTTTTTTTTTTTT